GTGTGTGTGTGTGTGTATGTGTGTATGTGTGTGTCTTCATTGTCCAGCCATTTAATATCAGAAGCCTCATAGACGGTCGCTCTTTCCCCATCGTCTCTCGCAGGTGGCCAGCATAGTTCCCAAGACAGTGGCACCCAATGTGCTGTCACTGGCTGGGTTTATCTGCATTTTGCACGCATACTACGTAGTGACTGTGCTTAACTCGTCCTATCCCGCAGTGGCGTCGCTGTTAGCCGCTGTACTGGTATGTCTACAAGTAGTTTAATCCGAACGCACACAGATGGTCTCTAGAACGAATGGGTGTATGCGTGTGTGGGTTTGTATGTGTGCGTGAGTGTGTGTGTGTGTTGCAGGTGGTCTCATTCATCTGCATTGATACGCTCGTGTTGCGTATGGCCTGTGCCTGGTTTGTCGCTGTTGTTGACTACTGTGCTGCGGTGAGTGCTGTGAGTGTAGTCACGCGTGTGTCTGTTGTGTGTTGGTGTTGCAATGTGTTATACTGGACAATAGGGTTTTGGGTTTCGGCGATGCCACCGCACGAATCTGGCCACAGAGTTTAGGGGGGGTGTGTGTGTATTCTACTACACATATCATAACAGTTTTGCGTAGATATGGCCTAAGGCCGATATGGGTCGAGGGTGTGTGTTATACAGAGTGCCGCTTACTGCATGTTTGTGTGCTGTGGGGGTGGAGGTGTTCCCGTTGAAACGTCGCATATGTCTGCTGGATCAGGAAACTTGGGGATAAGACCATTTGCTGTGTGTTACATAGACCTAGCTAAGCCACACACATATTGTGCTGCTAGAGAGACCGCATATATATATATTCATATACTCTACTGCTCGCACGAGATTTTGTAGACTAGTCGCATTGTGGGTGGGGCTTAAGCTCATGGAAGGACATTTGTGTGCACATCATCTTGTACATCTAGCGATTTAGCTTTGTGTTCCATTAGTCTGTGCGGGTGTGCGTGTTTGTTGTGCGTGTGTGTATGCGTGTATCTGCGTGTCAGTAACCGTTTGTGAGTGGTTAAGAGTACCACCCTGCCAGTGTAGTCATATATGTGCGTGTGACCATAGCTGAATATCGCAAGGAAAGCTCTCGCTGCAAACAAATTTATGAGGCGGCTGGCGGTATTAGACTATGTATAGTCCCTGTGTCACTGACACACACTCCCTTTTATGCCTGTGGGGTATAAGCTGTGTCCCGTGCATCTGTGGCATTCTATTTATACATAATGTGCCTTACTCTATGCCACACCCCTCTGCTGTTTGTCTATTGAATACTGTGGCATTCTATTAATACATAGACACATGCTCATGTCTACACCCCTCAGGTGTTTGCCTACCAGACACTGGACGCCATCGATGGTATCCATGCTCGGCGGACAATGAACGAGTCCAGCATTGGCGAACTGTTTGACCACGCGTGCGACAATGTGGGCATGCCCTTCTTAGTCATCACCGTCGCAAGGTATGGCTTACGGCAATGATTCTGTGTATGTGCATATGCGTCTCTACAACTGTGTGTATGTGCATATGCGTCTTTACATCTGTGTGTATGTGCATATGCGTCTTTACATCTGTGTGTATGTGCATATGCGTCTCTACATCTGTGTGTATGTGCATATGCGTCTCTACATCTGTGTGTATGTGTGTATGTATGTATGTATATAGAAATGGACGTGTAAAGGCATGTATTTGCGTTTGCGTTTGCGTATGCGTATGCGTATGCGTATACTTGTGCACATGTGCGTATGTTTGTGCCCGTCCTCTACCCAGATACATGTGTACGTTACTCGTCAATGTAACACATTCCGGTTGGCGGCATAGACGCTCTTCCATCGATAGTCGCGTATTCTCAGGCGAGGCAATGTGAACAGGTAAAGGCCTGTGCGCTACGAATGACAGTACCACCACACCCGACCAACACGTGTGCTTCACTCGCTGCACTCTGCATCGTTACGCTTTCTCTGTGCACCCGCGTGTGGATGATGGGATGGTTTGATCTTTGGCGGTGTAGTGCTGTTCCTTTCATACCTTATTTGTATCTACATATCCTGCATAACCTGCTCTTCCCATACCCCCATGTTTATCTCGGCATTTGGTAGTTACTGAGATAATATAATAGCACCCGTCAGATCCATCCCTAGCCTTAACTCACACCTCACCGTCCGTTTGCTGTGGCTGTGGCAGGTGTCTTGGCTACACCAACAATGTGTGCATCTGGTTTGTGGTGCAATCGGTGCAGCTTGTCCTGATGAAGTCCCACTTCAAGGCCTTTATCGGTAAGTGTAGTAAAAGATTTAGAACCCTAACACACTGGATGAAGCTCATGATATCCTTTACTGTGCACGTTTGTACACTGAGTGGGGGTAGCCTTTGATTGTGAGGGGTGTGCCAGAGTGAACTCATGTCCTTGTGCGTATCGATTGCTGAGTCTGGTCTGCCGTGGGTGCTCTCTAGAGCATCTGTGCTTCGTACATGGTTATAATGTCTTGAGAGTTAAAGTCCTGTTTGCCGCCAATGGTACGCACACGTTGGCTGGGAAAGGCAAGGAATAGATGTAAGTTAGTGAGTTCGTGTGTCATAGTATCTAGGACCCCGCTATCGACCGCACGAAGTCCAACCGCATCAAGTGTGTTGATGACGGGTAGGGTGTTGATAAACACGCAGTGCTGGTAGAATCACACAACCTACTCTTGCACCACACAAGCACCACTCAAGGAAACAACCAGCGCTTTAGACGGCTACGTGTGGCAGGTGTTACCCAGAACTTTAGAACCCTAAACTAAAACAACCCCTAAACCAAAAGGACCCCCTGAACAACCACTGATCTATCCTGGCCAAATCCAAAATATAAGAATAGACCACCGTTCCATAAATAGCCTACGGACAGCCAGCGCATTGTTTAGTACCGTGTTGTGTTGTCTCCAGGAGGTACGCCCACCATTGCAGATATTTTAATCCCATCGTATATACAGATTCTAAAAATAGACTGTTGTCATTTTAAAAATAGATTGATATCATTTTAATAGTAGACCGTTTCATTCTAAAAGTAGACTGTTGTCTTTTTAAAAATATTTTAATAATAGATCGTTATCATTCTAAAAATATACTGTTATCATTTTAAAAATAGACCGATGTCGTTCTAAATAATCGACCGTTCCCATTCTTATCATACCACAGACAGCGAGCGCTTTGTCCGGTACCGTGTGGTGGGGTCGCCAGGGGATGCGCTGATCATTGTGGAGATTGTGTTGATTGCTCGGTCTATGCTGGGGCTGGACTGGCTGTTCACCATGTACCTGCATCTGCTGCATCTGCTCAGTGACTTGACTGAGTATATCCTGCACCAGATCGGGTTCACTGAGTTCCATGCACCCCACGAACAGGTGACGGAGGTATGCTTGTGATATGTCTGCCTTAGGGTTTTAGGGGTTTAGAACCCTCCTAAACCCTGAATGACAATCTTGATTTATTGTGCTCCTTTGAATAAACCACCATCGAGACTAAAACCAGGTTTGTCTCTCGCGCTGGCAATGGTTTATCATACAGGAGCAACTGTGGCTGTGGGGTCCCAAGGTGATCTACTACGGATTGCTGCTGTGGTTTATCGCTCGTGTGCTGCTGACCAAGAAACAGTTAAAGTTCAACGACCCCATCACAGGCGAAGCCATTGGCGAACAGGTCGACACCTACCCCACCAAGACAGCCCTGCTACTGTGCCTGGGGTGTGTGAAAGGCCTATTCATATTTATATATGTGTATATATATATCTATCTATCTATCTATCTATGTTTATATAAATATATATATCTATATATATGACTATTCGTTTCCTTTCATGTGTAATGTCTGGGCTCTGGGCTATGTAGTAACCCGTGGCAACACAACGCAGAACACTCTATGATTGTGTTGTAGGCCTAAGTCGTCCCTGTCCATCACTTTCTGGTGGTGTATTAGCTGCATGTATAGCCTGTTCTGATCGGTGTCTGTGAGTGTATTAGGTTCATGTCCCATCGCAACTCTTTCTGAGTATAAGCAATGTGCTTGTTGACTCCCCTCATATACTCTTCAATCTCACCCTACAACCCCCCCCCCCCTCACCATCACCACCCCATGCGACCGCCTTCCTCCGAGTCTCCTTCTGCCATCTAAACCCTAAACCCTAACAGATATCGTGCAATCCCCTCTCTGCTACTGTGGGTGCCTGGGGCTACGCCGGTGACACTGTTTGTCTCTGAACTCGACATCATCTGCGATGGTGTGCTGATGTCAATTTTGACGTCTGATCTCATTCTCTCTAAAATGGCCCGCCGGAATGTCCATTCATGGGTGTGTGGCTGTGTGTATGACTGACCATTTTATGAGTGTGTATGCCACATGGTATCAACAGCCGTGTATATTCATGTACACGCCTGTACGCAAATACGTGCAGCGAGAGTTACAATAATATATAGATATATATATGGATATATATATATATTATAATGGTGTCTATTAGGCTTACCTGCGCACATACATATGTAGTTTTATATGTAGTGCCCACGTATATGCCATGTGCAGGTCAATCATGCATACCAATGCCATTGCACAGGAACACAGTGCACGTGGGTATATGGTGACACGTGTGTTGACAAAAGATGGGGATGATTCATATAGTTACAAGGCGATGTATCAGAATTATCATGCCCAACCACTACGAGTGCCAGGTTAACAGGGGTTGCGTCATACTTAATCTCACCTATGCCCTATAAACAGTTCAAAATGTAAGCTCCAAGTGGAGTGTGTATATGTGACTGTGCCTGGTGTATGCATGTAGGTACATCCGTAGAGCTTCTGCATAGTACTACAACCCCAATTAACACGCGACCACTTCCAACCCCGTCCTCTCGTGACATTCGTCAGTGGTGAGTGTACGGCTTTCGTGTCAGGTCAATCCAATCGCACACACAACTCACTCAGAGTGTGTGCGTTGCTGCCCTTTGTGCACACACAGTCTTCTCTGTGCGCCTCTATAACCCATTCGGCCTGGCATTGCGCATGTGCATAGCTCATACGACTACCTCACCCGTACACGCCCCTACATCTAAACCCTAAAACCTTCTACAGACAACCCTAAAACCCTTTGCCCAGGCCTAGATCCGTATCACACAGGCTCACCTACGTACATGTAGACTGACCTCTTAACCCACCCCATGCCCAGGTGCCTATCCTCTACATGCTGTCTATCTTCGACCGGCTGGTGTGTCTGGTGCTGGTGGCTGTTTACTTTGGAGGGGTCTTCGGTGATCTGTGCACGTACATGAATCTGCCGCTGCTCACAACAAACGTCAATGTGTACTGCGACGGCGTGTACGATCTATGCCACTGTGGCCACAAGGTGTGTGTTGTGTAGCATGATTACTTGTGCATAAGGTGTGATATGTAGGACTATTTTTCTTTATAACAATAATAGCCTGTGCTGGGGATATGAATAAGCACCCCTGCATCCCACATCCTTCCTTTCGATTGGCTTTTAAAAATAGCACCCACTCTCCCTCAGAATCTATTCAAAGCTGCGCTGCGATTCGGCACGCGACTGCTGGTGGGTGTGGTGGGCGACGAAGACGCCAACAAATACAAGCGACCACCCATCATGACATGTGACGAGCGGGCAGCTGAGGTGGCTGGGTGCAAAGGCGTGCACACGGTTATTAAGGACTCACCTTGCTTTGGGCTGACGGAGGAGTTTATTAAGAAGCACATGATCCATGTGGTGGCCCACGGAAAGGAGTACACGGCACTGGACCAGGCGGAGGTGGGGTTTGTGTGCGTTGGGGGTTGTTCGTGTATGTATTGTATGTGGCTGTGGAGGGTATGTGCATTGTATTGTGCATATTCAATATAGTAGGATGTATGTTTAAATGTAGATATTGCTATGTATATGTATATGTATATATGCAGATACCTATACTTACACTTACATATATATATATAGTACATACATATATACATACATATATGTGTGTTTGTGTTTGTGTTTGTGTTTGTGTGTAGTTTTTATATATTTTATTATTTATTATATATATATATATATATATATTTGCATACAAAGTTTGATATTCTATGTGCAAATACACATTCTTTCATAAACCCATTGCAACCTACACCACTCAAATTGAAATCACAAACGCATCTGACAAATCATTGTGCGAGTAGGAATACCGAAAAGAAATGGAGAAAGCGCTGGAAAAGGGGGACTTAGAAGGGGCCAAAGAATTGCGAAAGAAAGCTGCGTTTGAGCAGAAGAAGGGAGACATCAACCCCAAGGCACTCAGCGAACGGGTAAGCCTGCCCTGTTACCTGGGGGGTTACTGGCTGGGATTGCATGTACGCATGCAATGGTTGTACACGGTTGACTTTCGGTTGTTTGGTTATATACAGGCATTCAATTAGCGCGCGGATGTGCCATGATGTGTGTGGTTGTGTGTACACGTGCTATGTCTTGATGAATGCTAGCATACGTGTCTATTCTCCCGCAGGGTTTTGGGGTTAATGCTAACGCACGAGTCCATCTCCCGCAGGGTTTTGGGGTTAATGCTAACACACGTGCCTATTCTCCTGCAGGGTTTTAGGGTTAACGCTAACACACGTGCCTATTCTCCCGCAGGGTTTTAGGGTTAACGCTAACACACGTGCCTAATCTCCCGCAGGGTTTTAGGGTTATTGCTAACACACGTGCCTATTCTCCTGCAGGGTTTTAGGGTTAACGCTAACACACGTGCCTATTCTCCCGCAGGGTTTTAGGGTTAATGCTAACACACGTGCCTATTCTCCTGCAGGGTTTTAGGGTTAACGCTAACACACGTGCCTATTCTCCCGCAGGGTTTTAGGGTTATTGCTAACACACGTGCCTATTCTCCTGCAGGGTTTTAGGGTTAACGCTAACACGTGCCTATTCTCCTGCAGGGTTTTAGGGTTAACGCTAACACACGTGCCTATTCTCCTGCAGGGAGAGAAGTACTATAAAGTTGCCTTCGACATGGGCATCTCAGAAATTCTGCCGCGCACGCCTGGGCTAAGCACCAGCGACCTTATACGTCGGTGTCAAGAGGCCGGCACTAAACGCCACGACAAGTGATGCTGGCTGCATCTCCTCGTGAATCGAATACAAGTCACCGCTGATCAGCCAGTCCATCATAAGCCTTGTACGTCATGCGTATATGACCACCCACGCATCCATGTAGGGCGAGGAAGTGTATACGTCCATACATGTCTGTCAGTGCCCTGACAAGCGGACGCTCTCGGCATAGGTACAACGCACTTAAGAAACGTGCACTAAGCGTATGCAAGAATGTGGCCTCACTACCTTCGAATGGGGTCAGTCTCGTGGATTGCTCTGCACGATGACTATACCACAGGCGGGGCGACTGCACCTTTGCCATCAGTGGCAATGCGAAAGCAGATGGCATGCTACTTCAATTATTAAAATTCAGCCTACCGTTTAAGACCCTAGTACGACTTTAGTCTGGGTACTTAATATTGGCTGCTCCGATGGTTTTCAATACTCGATAGTTTGACCCCTATTCAATTACATGTGCTGAAAGGACTCATGTGCACACAAAAAAGAAACTTAGGGAGATTCTCTGTGGGTGCCTTAGCTACCCTCAATGGTATTGCCTTAGATACCCTTAGTCGGAGAGCCGTCAGTGTGTGCTAGAGTGCTATGTTTATTATACATGTGTTTTTAGATTGACATGTGCTGAAAGGACTCATGGGCACACAAGAAAGTAGCACACGGAGATTCTCTCTGGGTGTCTTGGTTGCTCTCAATTTTAGTCGGAGTGCCGTCAGTGTGTGCTAGAATGCTATGTTTAGTATAGATGTGACATACATAGTCGCGCTGTGTTTATGTTTGCGTCCACTGGTGTGTAAGCGGGTGTCTTTTTTGTTGAATTGGTTTCTTGTGTGCATCCTCACAATTCAATTATAAACGATTAGATTAAGCCCGCTTACTTATGAGTTACTTTGGTCAGGCACCGTTCCACGGATTTGGCCAACGTTCGAACCCATTGCAAACTTCCGATGAAATATGATGTTTGTCATCTGTCGAAATAGCCGAAGGCGGCAGAACGTAGTTCGACGTAGCTGCATAGTCTTTTTATTACATCTACTTTAAGGGGTCAGTTTTGGCTATAAAAACCGACTGCCATGCGTTGCAATTATCACAAAACTATATTGTTAGCATTAGAATAGCCATGGACCATTCCGTAAAACATCACTTCCATTCAATTGCAATTGACTCAGTGTATGTGTGAATAATTGCAATTGATTCGGTGTATACGGTGTATTCAATTGCAATTGATTCGGTGTATGTGTATTCAATTGCAATTGATTCGGTGTATGTGTATTCAATTGCAATTGATTCGGTGTATGTGTATTCAATTGCAATTGATTCCGTGTACGTGTTTCGCTAAACATCGCTTCCATTCAATTGCAATTGATTCAGTATACGTGGTTGTTCGTGGTTGTTCTGTGCCCTATTCATCTCACATCACCAGATCCCTAAGACAGATATCTAGAAACGCAAGAAACCCTACAACTGTCGCATGTATTCAATCCAGTATCTGAATTACATGTATGATGTATTTACAAAAAATAGTTGAGGTAAAGCTTTTTGCAAAAAAAAAATTGTGAGAACGGAATATTTATTCATTTCATTGTATGTTTCCTACATACATGAGCTACATTCTCAAAGGGACTAGTATTAAACGGTATAGTACGGTGATCGAATACTCCCTTCCAAGGAGGTGTTCGGTTCCTCCTGGTAGAGCCTTTAGTTGTTGGCCAAATCAATAATTTTCTGCATCTCGTTGTACTCAAAAGTACCGTCAGATGCCTTGCTCTTGCGACGCTCACGCACCTCGACCTTGTTGCCCTGCTCGAGGTGCACCATGAACTCTCGGGTCATCACAGTCTGCTCGGACTCATCGACACTCTCGCTGAATGTGCGCAGCACCAGGTTTCCGTGGTCGTCGCCTTGCTCGGGTTCTGGGGGTGCGAAGACGGTGGTGTGCCCGTTGGATACCAGCAGCTTGTTCTTGGCATGGATTTCCTTCACAATAGCACTGGATTTGTCCTTTACAACGTCGCAAACGGCCTCGAAAGAGTCCAGGTTGGCGGTATCGCACAGGTTCATAAGTCGACAGCTTGCATCGTCATCGGCTAAGTCGGTATATGAAGATTTGCGGCGGACCAAACGGAATGGTGCCGCACCTGTCGATGTCATCTTGCTGATTAGAGGGGGCGGAGGTTGACCGAGGAGGGTTATTTAGCTTCAAACCAATATAGTTTTGTGATAATTGCAACGCATGGCAGTCGGCTTTTATAGCCAAAACTGACCCCTTAAAGTAGATGTAATAAAAGGACTATGCAGCTACGTCGAACTACGAACCCACTGTAATCTGTAAGTAAAGTTGTAAACGCATACAAATCGCGCAATCCGTTGTTGGATCCCCATCAGAATACTCTACTAAGAATTCCACAAATCACCCCGACATATATTTGTTTATTGTCCACAGTAGCGTGAAAGTCGGTACGTCACATCAACCTCAACCCAGAGCCCAACCCCTAGAGTTATGGAACATAAATGATCTCAGCTGTTGAAAACTACTGGTTGGTAGCTTTTTGGAAATCATAAAAGGCAACTGGAGTCATCAAAAAATAAGCCAGGTCATAGTTTGTCATAAACAAATCAGCTGATAAAGGTTCGTACTTTTTCCTATTGGTAGTTGCAAATCTATGTACTCTTTGGTTCCAAAAATAGTTTATATACGCCTAATACAGGGCTTGAACATGTCAGCGGATTTAAAGTTTGCACAGTACATATAGCACAATTTTATATCTGCAGTGCCTGTCAATCTGTCATATCATTCATTTTACTCATTATGAATTTTATTTATTTATCTCTATTCTTTCAGAGAGGAAGTCGCAAACTGGATCATTTCCGGAAGACGTGAGCGTTTTGTATGATGTCACAATAATTCAGGGATTCCTTCACAACCGCCTAGAGGAGTTCGCAGAGTTCGAAATATCAAATAGTTTTCGAAATTTTAGACTGAGTGTGTTTACACCTTTGACTGTATGTTTAGCCCTACTTGGTACAGTAGCAAGCTGTACGCAATTCGGAATTACCATTGTTGCTGACATCTGCATCGATTCTATCTTAGTTTAGTAGCAAGCTGGACGAAATTCGAAATTACTCTTGTTTGTTGACATCTACATGGATTCTTTGAACATGTGGTCGGTGTTGACTCATGTGTATTAGACTTTTGCAACTTTTTGACGTATGCGCGCCCTGGCTATGTGGATGGCAAACTCGTCAATTAAAGTATCACATAATCCGATCCTTGTTATGTATTTGAAGCATATCGCGACCCAATCAAGCATTGAACACACTGACGTGATTTCCATAGAAAGTTATTGATTAGATGCCTAGGTAATCTCATTATGAGTGATAGAATACTAATCTGATCTGACAGCTAATCGACGCGCACTAATAAATTTGGATCAATCGATATACGGCAAACCCCACATATAGTGTTGCCCAAGTTTTCAGGTTAGGCAAACAACAGACAGTCAAACCAATTCACAGACCTCAGTCACCAAGTGTGCATATATATATCCAGCGCGCGTTTGTAACCGTTGACGCAGCCGTCGCAAACTCCAGTCGACTTTGAGTCGATTGTTCGACAGTACAGAGCTATGCGTTGTCTATATACGTGGTTATTGCGATGGAAACAATGTCTTGACACAGTGATGTTATATCTCTTCTTCTGTCAGATGTACCTTCTCCTACGTATACAAAGCACAGCTACTTAATTGTTTTTAGTATCAATTTCCCTATACTCATATGATCAATCGATATGCTGTTGTAGAGCCGCATCAGAAGCGTGTGTATCCAGGTTGCCCGCCATGTCACGAAATTGCCTGGGCCTGTATGTACAGGTGAGTCGCAACAATAGTAAAATTGATCAATTTTAATGGTGCTTAGTCACATTATTTATAATTAATTACGCTAGAGATCAACGACTACGTACGTACGCATTTCAGAGCATTTTAATGAATGTACGGCCAACAAGCGGAGAATTCATAATTCGTGTCTGTCAGTCTTTAATATATGTATAGAATTATTGCCAGGGAGGGTATCTGTCACATGTTTTAGGAATACAGTAATTGATTCTATATTACTAGTACTGGTGAGCATCTGTGATGATCTCTTTAAATAAATAAAAACGTGTGCTAAGAGTTCTCTCGACTACCATACTAGATAAGCGGTACAGTGCGTGCCCTAAAAGGTGTGAGTATGCACCAGTTACTACAGTACAGCAACTTTTATACGGTTATCTTGTCAAATGAATCGTGTGTATTGTTGTTACTTGCCTCGCACTTTTCGAAATAGAAGAAAGATAGTCGGCGGTCATGCCGATTCTCAGAGCTCAGACAATTCCAGTGAGTTATTTGGAATTGCATCCGTGTTCAGAGAATTGCACCGAAGCGTCGCATACATACTTCAAAACTGTGGCAAACTAAATTGCCGCCAGTGGTGTGCTGACTAAATGGGTGAAGAGCTCGTACAGCGAGAAAGTGAAGTCGTAGCAGGCGATGATCACAGCTGGGTGGTCTTCACGGCAGTCTTGCGTATACAGCAGTGTTATGTATGTGGTAGCGTTCCGCTCAATACAATGAAACCTTTTGGGTTTTAGGGTTTTAAGTCTGCTAATTGTACCCGCCACTGACACAGGGATGTGAGTACAAGCCTCATCACGAACTCTGCTTCGCTGATTAACTTTGCATATCCTTACGCTAGTTTCACATCTCGAGGAAAGTCTCATTGTTTCTTCTTCTTCGCTTCTGCACTATTTTTGGGAGAGTCACTGCCCGCATTCGATGCCTTTGGTTTCTTCTCATTGAGACTCGTGTGCACAATATCACTCTTGTTCACCCTCTTGGTCGAATCAGGAACGAGATAGTCATCCAAAAACGCCATCACCCTGAACCCAACCAGGAAGCAAGCATAGATCACAAAAGCACCTATAATAGGCACTAATGTAGAATACAACGCTGTTTGTATCCAGAAGGCTGAGCGTTCTTCATCTGGCACGTTGCTAAAGTCAGCCATCCACCTCTGCAGTGTGAGCATTGAGTTGAGCCCTGACATATTCGAGTCCTGTTGGGATATCGGCAGTAAATATAATAGCTTACCGCGTTAGAAAGCCTTTGAACGATGTAATACCCATCTGGCTATGTGTCTATATTTTTGATATTTTTTCTACATTCATTTTTATACTGTCCCCTGTGTCCGACTCTGTTGGCGTCTCTCTTCTTGTGTTGTCGTGTGTGACTGTGTTGTGGACTTGTGGGTTCGAACTTCGAAGGCCTCTTTGTTTCACTGTTTACTGTTCGTTAATCGTGAAAGCTGTGCTGGGTTGTCATTAGTCCACAGCAGACAAGCATTGATCAGTTGATTGGATTCTATAAATAGAATCGTTACTTTCGGCGGGAATTTGGGTTTCTCTCGGTTTTGACTTTCTACGGAGGTGGTTCCCGCCAAAAGTGTAACCAGCAGCGTTTGATACTGAACACTTTCTCTGTTTCTCATCAATAAATCTCAATAGTCTATACTGACATGGGTATTGTGTGTAATAGAACACACGAGAGCGAGAATTAGGGACCTATGTATACGCATTTACTAGAGAACCCGAGAGAAAATTGGGGCCGCGTCGTTGTTGTAGGGAGCTTCTAAGCTGAGCACCTGCACTTCGCGTATATATTGCTATCTTTCACCTGATCTCCTTAGTATCGTTCGTTGCCACTTTCGTGGGATTCCAGATGAACGCATAAGTTGTTCACACAAGCGCTAAACGCTTTCCAGTTTATCACACTGCACATAAAGCGTACGCCCGCATGCGATCGCGTATATTATTGTATAGCAATATACATATACTACAAAGCTGATAAGCAGCTAAATACGCTATTACATTGTAATCATGCACATTGAAGAAGTGATCATAGACGGCTTCAAGTCGTACAGGCACCGCACAGTGGTGTCTGGGTTTCATACGCATTTCAACGCTATCACAGGATTGAATGGTTCTGGAAAGTCCAACATCCTCGATGCCATCTGCTTTGTTTTAGGTATTACCAATCTCAAACACGTGCGTGCACAGAATCTGCAAGATCTGGTGTACAAGAAGGGTCATGGGGGTGTTACCAAAGCGAGTGTGACCATAGTGTTCGACAACAAGGACAAAGAAACCTCCCCAGCGAACTACGAGGCGTTTGATCAAATCACCGTTACTCGACAGGTATGTGATTTAATCTCACGATATGCATGTGTGGTTTGAACACAGACAATATGTATAGCTCTCGTTTGAGTTTCTTTCCTTCTCTGTTATGTCTAGGTCTTTATTTGTACGATTTAGATACTTTGCATAAGTTTACGATTGGGACTGATTGCGTAAAGATACTCTAGTCCAAAATTGTGTCGCCGTGATTGGACACAGCATCCAATAGATGTCGTCACGCTTTTAACTCTGCGATATATACATACACAAATGCAAAATACCCATGTATGCATACTCCGCTACACGCATAATAAAATACATACATAATTATATATATATATATATATACGTTTGTGTATGTATGTATATATATATATATATATATCTATATATGTTATATATATATATATCTCTCTCTATATATACATATATATATATATGTATATATATATATATATATATATATATATATATATATACTTATATATTTATATATATAAATACATACTTGTATATTTATATATATAAATACATACTTATATATTTATATATATATATGTGTGTGTGTGTGTGTGTGTGTTTGTGTGTTTGTCTGTACGTAGATATAGTGATATATATATATATATGTCTGTGTCTGTGTGTCTGTGTGTCTGTATAACAGATATGGATATAAATTTTATCTCCCAAGTTTGTGTGTAGGCTGGATGTGAAAGTGTGTATGCACCTTTTGCGCGGAGTCAATAAGGGCCCACAGATATAGACAGAATACAATGAGCACTTTCATATATATGATTGTGATGTATACAAAGCTTAGGAGACGAGAAACTGGTATCTATTTGCACTTTGTCGCGAATATATATGTTTAGTTTAAGCGTGATATTGTGCTGCACTATTGTGTCAGTAGTTATGAGCGATATGTTTGAACTCGGTATTCTTTAGTGTAGGATTACCAGTCCCATATGTGCCGCATAGCTAGTGAACGACAGTGTGAGCGAGTGTAGAATGCCTGTACATACATATAAGTGATTACAAATGCGCCGGTCATCTCACAAACCCACGACCGCTGTATGCCTACACACGTAGACTCCTATCACGGCGATCATAGCCAGGCTGGATACATATGAGCCACGCACTCTACTTTGTTTGAAGTCTGATGGTGATGCTGCCATCGACATACCTTATTGTAAATCAATTGCGCACGACAATTGCGAGTAGGGTAAAGTGTATGGTACGTCGTATATACACCTATACACCTATAAACTCACACAGCGCTCACAGAAATCTACACTGCCCTGCGATATATTTATATCCTTTGTATCCTTACAGTTAGTCTCCCATACAAAGATGCGTGTGAGCTTTTGTCTTGATAGCCACACTTTAATTACATTCTATAAACTTTTGTGTGTGTCTGAGTGTTTCTGTCCGAGCGACCACCAACACGCAGTATCTTTCTGTTTTAATTATACACTAGGTCAAGTAAGTATTTATAGATAGCAGCCCACCACACCAAGCATTCCATACGGTCGCATTTGGCCGTTCCCACTCTCAAAACCCCCAACCAAGTCTATATATAGAACGACACCATCTCTATTGAAGGCCACAGCACGGTTTGTTCCACATTCATTGTACATGGCTGACCATGACTACTCCGCACTCTACAGATCCAAATCGGAGGCACGAATAAGTATCTCATCAACGGTCGCAATGTGGACAAGAAACGTCTCAACGCACTCTTCCTGTCTGTGCAGTTGAATGTGAACAACCCGCACTTTCTGATTATGCAGGGCCGAGTAACCAAGGTACACTACCAGTTGCAGGATTGTATGTTTATTTTTTTATGAATGGCCTATAATGTGGATATGTATCACTTCTGCCGTTTGTCCGTTAATAGCTTTGTTGGAAACTTCGATCCTTATGTACATATACACATATGCAGATGTATTGCATAATTGGTACTAAGCCTGTACCTCCATTAAAATTGTATGTAAATATACAATAACGCTACTTGTCGGTACACATATGTATAGCCGCATAAATGTCCATATATCCCGTGCAAGTTTATTGATGCGCCATAATTGCCCGTTTGCATACAGGTGTTGAATATGAAACCCCCGGAGATTCTATCGCTGATTGAGGAGGCAGCAGGCACCAAACTGTTTGAGATCAGCAAAAAGGAATCTTTCTCAATGATTGAGAAAAAGGACAAGAAACTCAACGAGATTGATTCGGTATGTAGAGAGCATTGATGGGTAATGTATTTGAACTCGAGCGAACTGTATCGGCTTTTAGGGTGCTAGAATTGGGATGGATCACTACTGTATGATTTCCATACTGCCATGAATCAGATTTTTTCTCTGAAAATGGTTCTTATTCGCTCTGGGTCCTTATGGTGTTCAACCATAGTATTCTGCAACGAACACCTGTCATGTGATGTCGCTAATTTATCAATCCGTTTGTATTGCAATATGACAGGTATTGGACGAAGAGGTTGAGCCGAAGATGCAGCAGCTGAAGAAGGAGCGTTCGGCTTACCTAGAGTTCCAGAAGAACCAGCAGGAAATTGACATCCGCAGCCGCTATGTCACCGCATATCACTACTGCTGCAACAAGGTGAGTATTGTAACGATATTGCAGGTATCTGCGTTTAAGGCTTTGCAAGTGTAGTAGTTAACAAAACTCGTATGTCCACGATATGTCGGGCATGTTGCAGGGATGTTGTGAATGGGTACGTAGCTGTATCATCTGTGCATGTAGATGCACCACTTGGACATGTGGGAGTGCTTTATGAGCTTATGGGAGGCTTATGGTCATGTAGGCGTAATGGTAGAGTGGACGAGTGCGTACGATACCGGAGTGGGGATGTGGCATGGTGCTGTGCGTATTGGGGGGAGTGTACATGATGGATACGTTACTTATGCCTACTGTATCATGACTATGTCACCGAATACTATAATATCAATTGGCTTGTTGATGAGACCTATGTAGTGCTATTACATGCCTTGATAATCAATTATTTTACGGGATATGCTCCGAACAAAAATGCCACGGCAGGGTTGTAACCCACTCTGATGTATCGAGTACGTATGAGTTTGTTTGGCAGATGTATACTGTCCTGTACACTGACGTCCGTTGCCCATTACACTCGTGCATCATGGTAGTCATGCGTATCTAAACTGTGATGCAATGAGTGCTGCCTTGGTTGTGCACCGCTAAAAACCTGTGCACCAGCCACGAAAGCCCATATAAAAGTGTGAAGATCATACTCCAAGCGATATCAGAAAGATGGTTGAGTACTATTGTTGTACTGTATGTAAGAGCGATGCAAACTGTTACTGATGTTCATTACACGATACCCACTGACCCGCTATCTCGTTCCATGGTCTTTGCACAGAGCAAATACGATGCCATGAGCGCGGAATTTGTGGTGGTGGAGAAGGTGATGCTGGACTTCAACAAGCGCAAAAGTGAACTCGTGCTGCAGCTCAAGGACACGGAACAGAATCTCGAGATTCTGCGCAAAAAGAAGGAAGCGGTGAGTCACGGTGTGGTTCCGCGCGCGGGGGTTGTACTATAAAGTTGGCTGCGGTAGTTAACTGGCTTTGCATGTGTGGTATTGTGTGAGTGTGAGTTGCGATGTGTGTCTGAATCAAAAGAGATGTGTGTCTGAATTGAAAGCGATGTGTGTCTGAATTAAAATCGATGTGTGTCTGAATTAAAAGCGATATGCCGATGGCACAGCTGGTTGACGTGAGGAGCTCTTACTGCCTATATCATGCCTCACGAGAGTACAGATACATTTATGCTGACAATGCGTCGAATTCATAAGAGTACATGCAAGTACGTCGATAAGTCGACTGTGAATGATGATGGAACCGTTTTGATGTGTGTATAACAAAACCTACAAAACATTAACGCAAGCATGCGCTTGTACATGTGCGTAATGAATAACCACAGGAAATAGGGGGAGGACTGCGCGATCTCGATAAGGAGGTGCAATCGATTTCGAAGAAATTGGTCACTGAGACAGCCAGTGTGGCAAATGCCACAGATACTCTCAATTCAGAGACGCTTGCTGTGGCACAATTCGAGGAGAGTGAGAAGGAGGTATGGTGCATCTGAGGGTACAGTGCTAGTTCATGTATCGGGTTATTAGATGTCATCTGCCTTTATCGTTTACCAAATATAGAATAGGTTGCTTTATAAGTGTGTTTATAAATGGCCAAGCTATATGTAACTACAAGCGGTCGGTTCTACATGACAGTATGTGCATCTCTGGTTGAATTGTGCACGTCGCTTTCAGTTGCCTTATGCATGTAGCTGCAAGCGACCGTGTATGATACAACAGAATGTTGTCAAATAATCATCGGTCTAATTGTACGCATCGCTTTCAAATGCTTTTTGTTAGATAAGTATGGGAACACTTGTGCACACAACTCGGCGTTAATACGCCCCCTTCTCTCGATTGCTATGCAACCTGCAGGCATTGGAGGCTATTGAAGCGAAAAAGAAAGAGCTGGAGAAGGCCATGAATGACCTCGGCCCCATTGAACAGGCGCACATCACCGCTGCAGGTACGTTACACGACACATAGTGCTATTGATATGCTACATAGTGATATCTGCACCGCAAACAGTACTACTTATTTTATGTGGGGGTGAGTACAAGCTAAGAACACGAGACACCTGCATATACTATTCATATTTGTTTTGAGAGTGTGTGTATACACATACGGACGCCTCTGCTTAATGCACGGTCGACGAAACACCTACACCTTACCTGTAGATGGTATACAGATTGTATATAAATCAACCTATCTTATTCTTTCGTTATTCTAGATTCCTACATATTAGTCATGGGTTTATTGCCGTGAATATTGTGACAATTGTAAATTCACACAGATGCCCTGTACCAACGAACACACATAGATACATTCAAGAAACACATGCTTATTTTAACTTTTAAACCCACAACAGAGGGTATGGAGAAGGCCAAACGTGATCTGCAGGCGGTGCGTGCGGGTATGAGCACTGGAGAGAGTGACAATGCGTCCAGTTTTGACGACACCATTCGACAGGCAGAGAACGAGCAAGCCGCGGCTGAAAGCGAGAGGCAAACACGGCAGATGAAGGTCAAGCACGCTACAGGTGCGTGTCTGGCCTACCCCTTTGGTTTCCTACGTGCACTCGTTACTTTTGTATGGGACGTTCTTTGTACATATATATGTGTTAGTGCGCATACTATTGATTCCTGTGACAGCAGGCCTCCGTGCACAGTCTTATCTCTGCCACGGCAAATGTGCACACACAGCTGAACTTAAGACGAAGAAACCTCAGGCGGTGCAGGCCGAAAAGACCCACGGCAGCGCCACGCGACAGCTCAAAGAAAAGCACAGCCAACTGGAACTCATGCGCACACAATTGCAAGTGCTCCCCTTCGACAAGGACGCATATGACACTCTTAACAATGAGAGGGTAAGTTTGGTGTATTCCATAAGGAGTATGTGTTGTATATCTAAGAAGGAAAGTGCATGTATGTTGTATTTAGCAATGAGTTTTTTGTGTGTCTTCATCGGTGAAGAGAGGGTGTGGTTGTGTATTTCACAACCCGACGGCAGGTGCGTTTTATGTAGCTATGAGGGGGGTGTTCGCTGTGTATCTAGTAAGAGAGTGTGTACGTTGTCGTCAGCAATAAGAGAAGTTGGAGAGTGCCTATGACGTATTCTTCTGTGGGTGTATGCTCTGGGTAAGATAGTATGTATTGCTACATACATATGTGTACCTCTCCTGCGCTGTAAGCTGCTTTATCTGCACCATATTCCCTTACTAACGTATGTTGCACTGTGTGTGTCGAGATCCACGTTGATCCCTCTTAACCGACGGTCTTTGTATTTTCATGTATGTTTGAGTACATATGTCACCGTGTGTGCAGTCGATTGCCTTGCCCTTGGCTCACTAGTTCTATATACTGCACCGAAAAGTATGCCTTCATCTAACTGTTTATATTATAACATGCCCTGTGTGTGTGGCATTGCATTGTATATGCAGAAAGTTTTGGCCGATCGCGTGCGCCAATTAGAGAACACGTTCGAGAGTTTGAAGTCTGAGAACAGAGGATTCACTTTCAATTATTCAGACCCGGAACCCAATTTCGATCGAACCAAGGTATGTGGGTCGTTTGCATCTGAGAAACCCCTTAACGTTGGGTTTCATCATATCTACTTACTTTTCCTATGTTTTGGTCATAGTGAGCCCAGTTGCATTGTGTGGTCGTGTTAAAAGTATGCACAGTGCATGGACACTCACTTTGGGGTTGTAGTTGCACACCCACATGGAAGCTACCTGAGTCTCTGCTGCCCATGCATCCCCATCAGCTCATCTTACTCAAGCATCCTGACTCGTTGGTTGTACTTAGGTGCACGGATTGGTGGCGCGATTGATTCAAATAGCCAACGAAAACGTGACGGGAGGTATGTACTAGCTCGTTCGTGGTGGTCTATAACAGCATGAAAAGGATATGAAGTAGGCATTATTGCTATACGAATACAAGGCTCGTCATTTTAGTTGTGTCCTGGATGGTTGGTGCGTATTGTTTTTCTCGATAGTGGTGTACGCGTACAACTGTGGCTGTTGGGGAAATGCCTTTCATATTTTATTGATCAGTGTGTATCCATAAAAGCTCGATCGCTTGACATCAATAATTGCAACCACACTGTAGTGAAAGTTTAGCAGAGCTGCTCAGGATGGGAAAGAAAGGCAGGTCAGAAATGAGCACCTGTTACAATGTGTAACGACATACTTGCATATCAAAATGGTGACTTGGCTCAGACCCATTCAAAACATATATATACTGGTCGATCTGTATCAGTATGCACATGTGACTGTGGCAGTGAATTCACGTCTACACATAGTCCTATCTACAGGCTTGTATCCTCTCATGCTATATATATGTGTGTGTGTGTGTGTATTATATGTATATACATATATGGTATATGGTATATGGTATACTGTTATGCATACTTGATCTCACCTATAGTCAGTCACACTGTTAGTGTATACGGATTGGAATGGTGTGGAAAGTAGAATTTTGTACAATGATTACGCACACATTTATATATGTCAACACTTTTCACACATCATATACATACAAAATACATTCGACAAAGCTTGCAAAGTCAACACGGAACACTGAGCACTGCGATATCTAATACAAAATACTTACAACATCAAATCTCTCCCGCATACGTTTGTAAATACTGTACTTACAACTAACCCATCCCTCACACATATGTACTTCATGTATTCAAACAGCCCTGGAGGTTGCTGCAGGGGGTCGCCTGTACAATGTAGTCATTGACTCGCAAGAGACGGGTGCTAAGCTGCTTAAACGTGGTCGTCTGCGCCATCGCGTGACGTTCATTCCGCTCAATCGCATTGCCGCACGAACAATCACACCACAGCAACTACAACGGGCCAAGCAGCTAGTGGGTGTGTGCGTGTTATGAGCACGTGGGTTGGTAGGGTTTGTAGTGTGATGATACTGTAAGTATGTGTGTGTCACACCACGAGAGAGTCACAGAGCCGACCAATTAGTCGGTATGTGCGTGCTGCAAGCATGCAGACTGTAACGTTTGCAGTGCGCATGCAAGGGTAATGGCATGGGTTCAGGATGTGTGTATGTGTGTGTCTCCTCTCAACAGCTGTATAGGGTGGATCAGCTAGTTTAATTGGTGGTACCATACATGCGGGTCGCTGGGCTGAGTTCAATGTTTTGATAAAACTAGGGGGGGAGGCTATTTGTGGTGTGTACGTGGCGTTAATTGTTACGTTATGAACTGTTTCTTTCTTGCGACACCGTCATGTGTGTATAGAGGGAAGTGTGTGGTATGTTGTAGAGAAATTGCCGTATTCCTTTGAGCTGGTTCTGAATATGTATTGGAGTGCATAATGTGCAGAGTGTAAGGCACTACAAGTGCTACGATCGAAGCAGCGATATGGAAGGCGCATATGAAAGATTCTAGTCTAGGCAGATATAGAAGGTCTGACTGCGCTCTGTTACCGGCTGTTTGTGCTCCTGTCCATAGTAGTGCCTGTGGGTATGCGACGTGTCTATCGTATGGTTGTGCACGGCGTAGACATACCTCGGGTGGTATATATCGTTCATGTTGTTTCTGTAAACGTGTTGCATCTATGTACATCTCATTGGTTTGTGGCTCCTCTGTTGTTTGTATACTTTTCATGACTATCCCATTCTTCGTCACAATATCTCTCGAACAAAATTCACGAGAAATTGTAGAAAAAACAACTTAAATGGATCCAAAAACGATGTATATTAGAAAGTGGTGGCGGGAATACAGAACACGCCATCATCTCTCCCTTTCCCTTCTGCTTGCGGAACCAGGTGTGGAGAATGCCGAACTCGCACTAACATTAGTGGGATATCCCAAAGACATTGAGAAGGCCATGCAGTACGTGTTTGGGACGACAATTGTCTGCACCAGCGCTCAGGCTGCTCAGAAAGTGACATATGACAGGGTATGTCAAGTATGCATACTGACGAATTACCATTGAACGTATATGCAAGTATGTATATATGTGGGCATGTAGTAAAGTGTTTGTTCTGTCTCACTTGCACTTATATGCTCTTTCACATGTACACAGAAAATCGATTGCCGATGTGAATGCGTGGGTATACTTTTAAATTTATTTGTGCATTGACTTTGTCCACGCTTGCATATAAACCACCGGTTCATTTCGCACATAATTCGTGCTCTGGCTTTGTTTACACACGCATACAAGTCATGTATACAGTTTCTACTACTCCAATCGACCAGTCCTGCGCACCCCTTGAGCCTCGGATGAATAATCTCCATGTGCGGTTTGTTCTTTCATTTGTTCATGACTGTTAATGTGATACACTTGTCCCATTTATTGACAGGATGTTCGCACTCGTTGCGTCACACTGGACGGTGACGTATACGAACCCTCGGGCACTCTGTCTGGTAGGTGTACTGTACAATATCCATGTCACGTTTATGCGTTGGTACGTTAGATCTGAGTAGACGTGGCACCATTTAACGAGTACTTTTTTGACAGTAAACGACTGTCGTGGGGCTGATAGTGCAGATGTGCACCTGGGACCCATTGTTTTGCTATGGAATCGCTCGTGCAATGGGAGATGGATATATTTTCATATATTGACTTAATTCTGAGTCTAATGAGTGTCCGCATAGAAACAGTTGCATAGTTTTATGGAGTTTCATATGTATATGTCGATATATATATATATATATGTGTGTGTGTGTGTGTGTGTGTGTGTGTATACATGTATATATATATGTGTGTGTGTGTCTGTGTGTGTGTGTGTGTACATGTATGTATATATATGTATTTATGTATATAGATATATATGTGTGTGTGTGAGAGAGAGAGAGTGTGTGTGTGTGTACATATATGTGTATAAATATATATATATGTGTGTGTGTACATGTATGTGTATGTGTATGTGTGTATATATCTATATCTATATCTATATCTATTTCCATATATTGACATAATTCTGAGTCTAATGAGTGTCCGTAGTTATATGGAGTTTCATATGTATATGTCGATATATATATGTGTGTGTGTGTGTGTGTGTATACATGTATATATATACATATACATATATTCATATATAAATATCTATACATACATATATATATACATATCTATATAACTATATATATACATATATATATGTGTGTGTGTGTGTGTGTGTGTGAGTACATGTATGTATATAAACATATGTATGTATCTATATATATATGTGTGTGTGTGTACATGTTTGTATATATATATATATATGTGTGTGTGTGTGTACATGTATGTATATATATATATGTGTGTGTGTATTAACGAGTGATTTTCACCATCTTTACTGTCTCGTGCAGTGTGCATAGCACGAGCTAACGCGTTTTCACAATACCAGCGAGTCCTCTGGCACTATAAGTGTCTGGATTTTGGATTCCCTAGAGTGATATCAACATACTATTATCACAGGTACTTCTAATAGACTAAGGCTTGTATATTGATATTAATCATATCTATAACCAAATATAATGCTGCTTTTGTTGCGGGTGTCATCTATGGCAACACTTCGTACGAACGACAGGCGGGTCCAATAGAAACAAAAGCTCAGTACTGCAAAGGTTGCAGAAGCTCAACCAGGCTGAGGAGGAATTCACACAGGCGGCACGAGAACTCGCAGATTTGGACGTATGTACTGGTTAAACATTTGTGGGATTATTGGGAAAGCGTGTGCCGTCTACTATACGTTGGTTTAGGATTCACACGAGTGTATGTTTATAAACCTCGTGTAGTTTACTATACGCAGGTATCGTGGGTAGCTTATCCCGTTAAATCCTTTTCTTGGTTTCTTACCTCGGTGGTTTGCTTCACAACTCAACTGCATGCAGGCCAAACTGGAGATGTGCACGCAGCAGAAGACCCATTACTCCGAAACAGCGGCTGCTTTGAAGAACCTGCAGTACCAGTACGATGTATGTATACCTCCACACCAAGCAAGTCGTGGGAGGTGGAGTGTGTACTATTAGATATACATGGGAAGCCTTGTGTGAGAATTCATTGTCCCAGTCACCACATACACGTGCTTACAACATAACCATTTCAAGCTGGTATATAAAAACTTTGGTACGTGAAGGTATCATGTATTTTGCAGATATGTGTAATTGATGATGGCACGCTACGCTGTGCACCTTGCATAGTGTGATTTTCTGGCGTGAAATACATTTCAACCATTCCCAGCTCAATGTACAAAGTTGCAAGCACGCAACAAAGTGCCCATTACATATAATCCGACATAGAAAGTATATATACATTCACTACGATGTTTCTCAATCTTCTATCGCACCTGATGTTCTCCGTGTGAAGTTGCTGGACAAGACCATCCGTAGCAGTCCCCACGGCGCACTGATCCAAGAGGTGGCGGACCTCGAGAAGGCCATTGCCGACCACACCGAAGCCATACAGCACGCCACGCACCAGCTCAAGGTGAGTGATCAAACCCTGGCACCCTTGGGTTGTGTATTTATTTATGGTGTTTGATTTTGTAGGTAATCTGCCATTCGTGATGTGTATCTATGAATGGTGCGTGATGTTGTAGGTAAGCTGCTAAAAGTGTTGTGTATTCGTCGCTAGTGTGGGATGTTCTAATGTAGTAGCACTTCCATGGGTGATTGTGTTTAGTCTTACCGATGGTGTGGTTGGTAGGGTTCAGATGCAGTTCATCGTATTGCGAAGTACTCTAAGATCATTGACGGCCGGAGATGATGTCCGTTTGCAGAGCGATGGAATAAATTGTTGCTCAAAAGCTTTCATTCCGATTAACTTCGTATTTGCGACAATTGCTTCTACTTTACGACATTCATCTAAATTCGAAATGGACGCACGGCATAGACGGCTGCAGCACGCATTGAGGAAGTGGAGAAGGAGCGCAAAGCTTTTGTCAACAGCCGCGAGAGCCAGACAGAGAAAATGGAAAAGCTTCTGGCGCTGCAGAGGAAGGCGAGTCAAAAGGCCACGCAGAAGTTCAAGGTGAGACTCGTGAAGTGGCCACGATACTCAACATGGAGGGGAAGGTGTGAAGGGGACACTTCTTTCCCTGGCATTGTAATGTGACTGTGGGACGAGGGCATAGAGTTAAGCGTGGATTATATTTTATTTGTATTCCTGTATAAACGCGTATTCAGAATCTGTTGGCCCAATTGTTTTGGTTTGGCACCTGCAATTAGAGTTAAGCGTTCAGAGATGTGTGCACACACGATCCCTTTAGCCTGTTAATGTCACTTTTGTCTGTACTTTCCAGGCGCATAAAGAGGTGATAGACGGTTTGGAATTGGAGCTGCAGCAAATGAGCAACGATCACGAAGGCTTCGATGCGCAAAAGGCTGATCTAAAGGCCTCTGTCGAAAAGGCAAAGGCTAACCTGACGGCGCGGCAGCAAAAGTTGCTACAAATCGAGGTATGTGCAAGCTGCTGGTTCATGTGGTGGCATCGATGTTGTATCCCTAAGCCACTGAAGGTCCATACTGAGTGGTAGTTTTGTATATACGTGTGGTTTGTTGTGTCCTCTCTCCAGAGTAAAGATAGTCATATAACGCTGGATGCTCATATAGTCGAGAGTTACCATTACATCGTGGATCTATTATTTCTCACAACGACTGACCGCGAAAAATGGTATTACTTTGTTCCAGGGAATTTCATATTTCCATGATTTTATAACTTCAATACCAACATACGTTGCAATATTAGGCCAAACTCTGTGGCACGGCTTGAGGCTTGGACCATTAAATGGCAAAAGTCAGTACTTGCGTATCCCAATTTAGGAGCAGTAGCATTGCGCCGCAAGTACCCTCCATACTTGAGCTAGTAGTGGTTTTACATAGTTCCCGCGGTTTTATTTTACCGACAACTCTACATCAATAGGTTTGATAAAGCGTTACGGCGAACACCGGACTATAATCGAACCCTTGTTTCCTAATTAAAGTATACTTTGTCAATCCGTTCAGGCTAATTGCATAGTATCACGGCTGTATTCCTCACAACGCGTGCTTGGCTTCCAAAGACTGGCTTGATAATCTTATTCTTCTGCACAATCAGGCGGACTATGATTCGGCCAACGAAAGGTTGCAGAAGAAACGCGAGAAACTCGACGAAACTGATGCGGAGATGAAGAAGGTGTGCATATGGCTGTGTGGTTCTGGTCGCAAATCGTCTTGTAACTAAGACGGGTATCGTGAATCGTTTATAGCCGCGTGTGCATACGTACGTATGGTAGCGTCTATCAGCTCGTGCGCAAATCGCCCGTGGCAAAACTCAACAATAACAACTCAACTAATTGTCTGTTAAGGATTGACATGAATTCACGAACGAAACACTGACTTTACTTCAGCACCCCATGTATACTCGGGTTGGCCGCATCTCGTACGTGATTATTGCGTAAATGTGACCTGTGTGCAGGCTCAGTTGTTCCGTTTCCTGTCCGCTGCATGTCATTAGTTCTGTGGTATATGCACCCAAGGGATTTATCCGTGATCTCTGTTTGTTCCTGGAGTCAATTGAAAGACAATGCCTTCAGTGTCCGTCAATGTATTTAAAATGTAGTCTTCCACCATGCATGCATATTCTATTGGTACGTACCACATATCACTATGTATCTAAATCACATGAAACACCTATCAATATGTACCTAAATCACACGTACAACGTATTATACTGTGCCAAATTCAGATGGCTGCCACAAAGGCCAAAGTTGAGAAGGAGCAGGGCGATCTGGAGATTGAGAACAAGACGGCGATGCATAGGAAAAGCCGAATGCAGAGTGAACTCAAGGACCAGGCTGACAGGTGGGTCTACTGTATGTGTGTCTGTGTTATGTTGTCATTGTACAATATATGCTCACACCACTACTGTATGTGTGTCTGTGTTATGTTGTCATTGCACAATATATGCTTACGCCACTACTGTATGTGTGTCTGTGTTATGTTGTCATTGCACAATATATGCTTACGCCACTACTGTATGTGTGTCTGTGTTATGTTGTCATTGAACAAGATAGGCGTACAACAGGTGGATCCACTATATGTATGTCTGTTATGTTGTCATTGCACAATATATGCTTACGCCAGCTAGTATTCGTATTTCTTGTTCTGTTTTTACGTCTGGGTTTATCCTTTGGCCGTATTCTATTTTTGGTAGATGTTTGGCTGACTCTAAACTTGAAGATTTTTCCATAGCATCCAAAAAGGGGAGGTGATTGTGCCTCTTTGTAATTTTTTATAACGTATCATTGTATTGTTTATGTGTGTACCTGTGTCTATTTCTATTCCAACCTGTGCTGGTATTTTTCTGTGGCTAAGACATTGTATGAACTATACAACAGACCATAGGCCTCTTTTTATTGCAGTGTCTCCCTTGTGTATCCCACCACCCGTAGCAATGTCTGTGTCTGTATCGTGTGCTAGTCACAATGCCTGCATAGTCCTGTGCACGCCAGAAGCCGATCATACGTTCCTTGACGGTTGTACTCTCGAGTACTCCTGATATCGTATTCCTTTCATAGGCATCTACTTTGTGGCCATCCGTACGCATAGCCTGGTCCTGACACGCTTTGTCTGTCTGTCCACGTCTTTTGATTTGAGTCACGCCATCTATAGCTCTCTGGTTTTAAAGCTCCTGTGATTGTATAGTGCTTGTGGTCAACCGATTTTGTGCATGGCACCTGCCACTAGGAAGGGCTCGGACAGTAAGAATACAACACCGGATTCGTACTGACTGAAAGTCTGCTTGAATTTATGGCCTCCTGACCTCTACAGTGTTAAGCACCTGTTGCTAAGCAACGTATGGATCACGAAGGAAGAACATCTCTTCGGCAATCCCGGCACAACATATGATTTCCAGAATGGACAGGACCCTCATGAAAGCGAAGTGGAGTTACAACGACTGAAGGCTATGCAGGAGGGGCTCAAGGGGCAAGTTAATATGGAGGTACGCTGGTAACCCAACAGACCTGTGTTTAATTTTGTGCTTGTGTTTTTGTGTGTGTGTGCGAGAGGGAGAGAACTGAGTGAGTGTGTTATTATATATTTTTGGTATAGGATTACGCATATACTGGTGATGCATGTTGTATAGGTATGGAGCACATGTCCGTGCATACTCCTGTGTTTTTCTTTGTAAGAGTAGTTTGTATGTGAGGATGTGAATAGGTCTATGTATGTTTCTACGCAAGACTGTTTGAGATCTCAGTTTGGAGTTTAGTTCGGTCCGGATGTACCACCATTTACACGTGTTTTCGTGTTTGAAGCTGAGATGCGAAAAGGCGACGTCACGAACGTGTCACTCGACATTCACGCGCCTCTAAGAGCCCAATTAGAAGGCTAGTCATTCTGCAGCTCACACATTCGTCGGCTATAGCTGTCGCGTGAGAGGTCTGAATGTGAGACATTGACTTGCAGAAACCTAGCCTGCTATCCTTGCACTGGTATCCTAATATTTGTTTGGGGGGATAGTGACCATAGAGTATGCGCTGAAGCTTGCTGAACGAACAAAACAACTCTAGCAGCCGCAATGAGAAGTGCACTGTGATGAGAGTCGGATGCCAAGGCGACACCTTGATCACTATCGCCACCCCTTGAATACAATACGTTTTCTCATCGTATCCTGTGACAAATCGATGTACTACATGGCATATCGATAGCCTTGATTTGAGTGGTGCTGTGCCACCCTACACATGGTCATGCGTTGGATGTGTACTCACTGTGCGTGGCGAGAAGTTTGGCCCGAAACGCATCCATTTGCGGCTGGCGTAGCGCGCGAATTGAATGTAAAGGGCTGGCCCCCTGTCACTAGCGAGGCACAGCAGTGTGTGTAAAACTCGCACAAAACGTCTTCATGTGGAGAGTCTGGCACTGTTAAAGACATCCGTCTGTTCCTATAGTATCAGTTCGCACAGTACACACACAGCCATGTGTATCCGTGTTCGTTGGCACGGGACTTAGATCAGACCTTATCTCGATGGATTGTGAGCGTTGTAACGTTACCGTGTATGAACCGAGTGCCGTGAGGATCCTGTTTCCACAATCGATGTGTGTATATACAAACCACGTGTTCGGAAATGAGCAGATCTTACGCTCCCAGCATTCTGGTGCGTTGTGTTGCGTCCGTTCACGGACGTTGTGTCGACCCAAACGGCTCACTCAACCTCTGAACCGATCTGATCTGTGCTATGGGAAAACGGCGTCGCGTGCGGAAAGTCTCTGAGGTCGCAGAAGGTACTGACTCTGATACACATGGCGCAGCAACGCGTTGATCCGGTCATGCTACGAGAGGTCAGGTGCCTGTTAACTGAGCTATGTGATTCTCTGTATGGCTGGACTGCTGTATTGCAACCCACCATGAGTTGACTTCTTAGTTGAGAACTTGTCCTTGTGGATTCAAGTAAACTGGTGGAGATATTCTCATTCCGAGTCAATTTCTGGGACAGGATTAAGAATGGCTTTGTCTGATGTCGTGATTGTATACGAATCCTAATGTGGATCCATTGAAGATGAATGCAGAGTCGAATTGCATCACAGGAGGCTTTCCTTGGTATATTTACACTCACGCAAGCAGCCTAGTGAGTTATGCTGTAACTCAGCAACATACCGCCAGTACTGGTTTAGATAGCTGTGGGCTCCTCTATTCTAGGAGTCTCAACAATATCTTTGATTGGCTGCTGTTTGATGACTTCTACCAACACGCAGCGGGTGTTACAACGCAAGTGTGATATATAAAATGTCAGACATCAACGCCAACAAGATGGTTGGAGGAGGGAGGGGGGGTCGTAATTAGGTTTGCAGCTGCCGATGATTCTTACCACTTTCTGTGACCAATTGTGCGTTGCGCATTATAACTCTGTTCTCCTCTCCACTACTCACAGTGCATTAAGTAGACAGCGTATAAACACACCTCATCCTGCACAGCTGACAAAATCATCAACTCCCAACCATCACTTTCCAACCATCAAACGCATCACTTCTCTCTACTACTCTCTTTGCTGACGTATCAGGCCATGCGGATGCTTGACGAACTTGCCAATGAGCACAAGGACTTGCTGAAGAAACGGGACATTGTGGAGATAGACAAGAAGAAGATCATTGCATCCATCCAAGACCTCGACAAAAAGAAGGACGAGCAACTCAAGGTGACGATTGGCAAGGTCAACAAGGACTTTGGCAGCATATTCTCCGTGCTCTTGCCTGGCACCTCGGTAGGAAGCTATTGATGCTAAAGCTTTAGTGTTGGTGTATACTTCGACCCGTACATGTGTGTTGTGTGTCAGTTGAGTGTACCGTCGGCTATGCACTCGGGTCATCATGCGCATGTCATCACGACATAGTGTACTTGATTTGTTTATTTTCCGTAACGGTTTCATTCGCATTCAGACACCGCCGCTCTCACTTTGCATTTCCTTACTCTACCATCGCTACCATCACTCACTCTCAGGCCAAACTAGCCCCACCCGAGGGACTGTCGGTGCTTGACGGCTTGGAAGTCAAGGTGGCATTTGGACAGACATGGAAGGAATCCCTGACTGAGCTGAGTGGAGGGCAACGGTCTCTCATCGCGTTGTCGCTGATCCTGTCACTGCTGATGTTCAAGCCTGCGCCCATGTACATTCTGGATGAGATCGATGCCGCACTGGACCTTTCACACACACAGAACATCGGCAATATGCTACGCACGCACTTTTCACAGTCGCAGTTCATTGTTGTGTCGTTAAAGGTATGTGTATTTATGTCAACGGTATATCTGTGGATGTACGTATGTAGCGGTCAACACTTTCTTTCTATGAATACACGCATATGTGTGTGCATGTCAACGCACGTAGTGCTTTCTGCTTTCAGTCTATATTTATTTTTAGTCCGTATATATGTGAATATATCCTCGGTATGAGTACGTTGGTGGAGAACGCTGTAGATTTTTGCCATCAAAACAAACATTTATCAGGCCAAACAAACTCGAAATCATCTAATGCAGGTGAGGGATTCCGAAAAGTGCCTTTCAATAACGAATCATTTCTATTTCCGGATATCCCTTTCCTAGTCACAACAAATCTGAAACCCCGATATTTCTAACCCCCTGTACGTACAGGAGGGAATGTTTGACAATGCCAACTGTCTGTTCCGAGTGCGGTTCCTTGAAGGGTCGTCCACCGTCACACGGTACGTGCAAGACCCGCATGGCAAGAATGCGCAGAGCGAAGAGGGTGCAACCGGTCCTAACAGGGGGAAACAGGGCAGGACATCCAAGGGTACTAAAAATAGCATAGGCGCATTGGATGCTGCCAGTTCTAGCAGGCCGCTGATGTCACGTAATGTTTGAGAACATACACCCGGTTCAACGAATGGAGATTGCAGGTATAAGTCCATCACAGATGTGTGTGTAGAGACACTCCAGCACGAAGCACTGAGAGATAGTACGCATACATGGACACCCATATGGGCAGATCTGGTCGTGCACTTCGGCAACTGTGTGAGATTTGAGGGTTCGAGTGTACAAGCCTAGCAAACAGACCCCAAAAAGCTCACCCACGTCATTGTGGACTTTGCAATGTCCACATATAGGAGATACATAAACGAAGACGACCTAGAATATTGTTACTAACCAATGAGAGTGGTAATAAAATAGATAAACGCAACTGCGAATCACAGTAGGCATGGCTCGTGTAGGAAGACCACCCGCCCCCAAAATCTCAACAACAACAAAACAGCCCTGCCCTGGATTGAGACGTGTATACTGATGTCTGCTGAGAAGTGCGTCTGACTTCACCATATACCCAAACACCGAAAGAATGGTCTGTCGCGCCGCAGTTGAAGGATTTGTAAACTTGGTTTAGAGGAGGCAATGACCCGTTACTGTGGGCTTGGTGCGTTGAAAAGTGGAGCGAGGTCTCCGGTATGCTTGCTAGCCTAATTAATTCGAAAGCATCTGAGAATAAACTAAAGATTCGAAACGTAAAAGGATTTTTTGAAGTGTAATGTTTCATAATTCTAATATTCTCTCACTCCGTACTAGTATTACTGCCATCACTCCCGCTTTCCATGTAGACCAGAGTTACCTTTCAATGCATACTATTTGGAATACATATGTATACGTTCAGTACCCACGCACAAAGATCTGCGCTGTCTACCAGCACATCACACACAGACGCATGATGTGTATGGTAGAATCTTGATAGTAAGAACACAGACGATCTGCCGGCACTTTCCTTCTATCGTAGATTACGAAGCACCCACTCCCTTGAACTCCAAACGCCTTTCACGCTTTCCATACTCTAAACTAAACCCTAAACCCTAAAACCTGCAATGCGCCTGTTTAAGTTTTCCTGTGCTGGTATGTTGAAGCCATGGGCCTGCGCGGGAGTGACGTTATGTCGGGACGACTTTACCACAAAGAAATGTGCCCCATTGGCTGTTGGATGGGACCATAACAACTACGGACCCACTTTGGCTTCGTTCTGTTGATTCGCTCCATCCCACTTCATCACATATCAGGTGAACTCAACCCCAGTATAATGCTTCCTAAACCTGCAAAGGTAGTCAAAGTGATATGCGATACTCATTCCTACTTTTAATGTCTCTGTGTGCTAAAACGGATCTTCAGGTGGTGGTGGGTCTGCCAAAAGAGGAGCAATCTCTTCCGCACACAATAACCCTACATTGCCGTTGGTAGTGCCCCTGTGTTTGTGTACCGTATCTATGCGTTCGTGCGCTTCATCCGAGTCGCTGCCATCACTGACACGATCTCTTTCGGCGTCTTGTGTGTCTGTGCTTTCGTCTCCAGCTATACTCTGCGCATGCCCACGTGCTTCCTCTGCTGCCCCCTGTGCATGCGTGGGTGTTACACTTGATGTATGCTTTGCGACTTGTTCTCCATTGCTGTGCCTTGTACTGATACCCCATGGGCCTTGTAAGTCAGAACCCAAATCGTGCGCATAGTCCGAGTCGTATTCGGCAGATGTGGACGCCCACAGTTCCTCTTGATCCCGTGCTATCAGTTCTGTGTGCGAATGCCATGCCCGGGTGGTAAATGATAATAAATTGTATGTATACACGTGTATCTATATATATATATATATATATATGTGTGTGTGTGTGTGTGTGTGTGTGTGTGTGTGTATATACATATATATATATATGTGTGTGTGTGTGTGTGTGTGTGTGTACGTGTGTGTGTGTGCTACGTATGTATGTATACATTCGCCAAGGTGAAATACCCCATATATACCCTACGAATATGCGAAGTCGAGCATGCTAGTGGGAGGCATATGAGCTACGAGGAGGAACAAGCTGCTTGTCAGATGACAAGTGACACATCAAGTTTTAGGGGTTTAGGGTTTTGGGTAGGAGATCGAGCAAAAACAATGCCTACTGGTAATGGCTGCAGTATGAAAAGGGAACTCTGCAAAGGCTTTACGCAGGACTTCAATGCGATTCGTCAGTACTCACCTGCTACAGGGTCGCTGCGACTGATGATATGTTTGTGCGTCTCTCTCTCAGCGGCCAGGGCAGCCGGTGTTGTGTGCGCGGCCTTTTCTCTCATTATGCGCAGCTTCGTCTCTTGATACGTTGAGATGAACACACGAGTGCAACGGGTGATATGAGACGCTTGCGTGTACTTTGAGATGTGATCTCACAACACATCAGATGTCTACCGCTAACTGTATGTACCAAGGGTAAACGGCACTCCTTAGTTGCCTCAGCGCATTCAATAAATGATTGAACAGATCATGTCAGTCGCATGAGGTGAGTGTTGGTACGTATTAAGGGAATAGGTGAGATGTCTATGCGCACACTCGCGGATAGGTATAGCATAGTGTACACCATAGTGAAAGTACGGAGATATGTATGTGGATAGGAAGAGCATAGTTTTCAATGCATGTGCACATACAACGATCACACTCACATCTATGCTCACGTGCACATACGATATGCATGCCATTGACCCTAATATCATGTAAACATGTAACGATGAGAGAATCATACTCAAAGAACTTTAACGGCGACATCGATGTAAATACAGATCTATACACAAACAGAATAGGATTAAAACCCACACACCAATACACTACAGACACACCACTACGCTACAGACACACCAATACACTACAGACACACCAATACGCTACAGACACACCAATACGCTACAGACACTCCAATACGTTACAGACATTCCAATACGCTACAGACACTCCAATACGCTACATACGCACCAATACGCTACAGACACACCAATACGCTACAGACACACCAATACACTACATACACTCCAATACGCTACAGACAAACCAATACGCTACAGACACTCCAATACGCTACAGACACTCCAATACGCTACAGACACCCCAATACGCTACAGACACTCCAATACGCTACAGACACAACAATACGCTACAGACATACCAATACACTATAGACACACCAATACACTAGAGACACGCCAATACGCTACAGACACCCCAAAACGCTATAGACACACCAACACGCTACAGACACACCAATACACTACAGACACACCCAAATGCTTTAGATACGCCTCTCGTTGAGCAATCTCCTCCGGTGTCTCGATCGACCACCTGTGTGTGGCCATGTGCATCTGTGGTATCTGCTGCTCCACCCACGGAGGGCTTATTCCGTCACCATCCGATTTAAGCACCCCCTCCTCCGTCTGTGATAGCTGCTGCTCTACCCACTGAGGGCTTATTCCGTCACCATCCGATTTAAGACAGCCCTCGTCGCACACACCACTGCCCGCCATGGACGCACCTTCACCCAAAAAAAAGGACCACCCCTCCTCCTCTGCCTGAACCACCCTCTGCGCCGTGCCCTGCACCCCATCAGTTGGTAACCTGCTGTCCCATGCTGCTGTGTGGCTTTGTGCGTTGACACTCCCTCCTCCGTGCCAGTTGGCTGCGTGGCCCATATCCGCCGCCTGTCCACCCCTCACACCACTAGCGCCCACACAGCCGGATGATCCCGTGCCTTCTCTCACTGCGTGCTGCGGTGTGGTTGCCCGGCCTTGTGCTGTAGCTTCTCGTATCGCCTTCTCACTCACAGTGGCTGTGCTGTGTGTTGCATCGTCCACCCATCTGCTGACTACTGTCTGCTCACGCCCGCGTGCACTCCCTTGAGTGTCTCCATTGGCGCGTGTTGGGGTGTTTTCGTGTGATGGGTCGTTGGCACGTGCTTCTTCCTGCCCACGTGCTTGGGCTGCCCTTAGTGACGGCCACGTGATCGCACTATTACTAGCAACACGACCGGTCATTGGGTTATTGTCCGCAGACTCGTGCGCATTGGGGTGTGCTGTGTGTTCACATACACTGGTGTATAATGGGTGCACATCTACATCTGTGTTGTCTTGCGCTGCAGTGTGTATTGGCAGTGTGTTGTGTTCACTCACACTCGGTTTCTTCGTATTGTCAGTATAGCCACTGCTAGCAGCTGTGGTTGTCTGTGTATCAGGAAATGACACACCAAACGCACCACCACAGATGGCCTCCGTTTCAACAGTGCAACTGAAGGGATCTACTGCTGTTGATTGTTTACTGTCTGGAATGCACCCCTTATTAGCACCCGCCACCATACCGATGTTCGTTCAATCGGTACCGTTCTTCTGTGGTCCAATTGTATCTGACCTCTTAGTTAAATAAGTACATGCTTTTATATTCCCGTCTCTTCCTAATGAATTATATTTATTTGCGTGTCATGTTGGAAGAATCGTCGCGAATTCAACCCAGTACTCCAGGTAGCATAACCCCTCTCATTCACACTCCCTTCCCTTCCATTCTTTTCCAGCACCTTCTGTCGACGTGATAAACAGCGGTGTACATAAACCTTCTCAAACAGTCAAGTATAAATGCCTGCACGTGTCACGTACATCCAGCCACACGCCTCACAACTGCGTGTGCCAGCGTGCAACTTGATTCCTCTTCAGTTGTCAGTCGTGTAAACGGTGCAGTACGTGCACACCCCTGTGTATATTTAAATATGTATTGTCTAATCAATGCGATCTTAGTACCGAACATCCGCTACGAATTTTGATGACACAAAATCGTATCAACTATCAAAAGTGGGTATCATAATAAAAATGTAAAAATGTCAATACCTCTAATAATGATGTATATCCACGTACTTTGTCCAACGGGTGGTTTGTTGCTTATAAGTTATAGGTATGGTGAATGGTCTGACCTATAAATGATCACAGAGAAACCAAGTGAGCGTAAGTGGGACTATACACGTACGCTCTAAAAACAACCAACGCACTGCCATAGCAACCTCAAACATAACACACAATATAGCCTTACTTAATATATTTGTATAGAAACCTTACCATATCATTCATGAACGTATCACCCGCGATCAAATCGCGTGTACCACCCTTAACACACACACCCACACCCAAACGCTCAACATCCAAACACACACCCACACCCAAACACTCAACATCCAAACACACACTCACAATGCCGGCACCGGTATCCAAAGACCATCTACTGACACTTAAAGTCATGCGATTGTCACGATCGACATTTCATCAATCGGCACCAATCAACGCCGAGAAAGATGACCTCATATACACCGCAACACAGGACTTGATGGATCAGGAGAGAACGCACGATGCACTGAGTGACAGGCTTGTACTGCCTCAGAATTTTGGGTATGTATGAGACAATAATGTGGCAAACCAAGGATGTGGCAGAATATATTCTTATCTTGCTCACCGATGTGTAAGCAGACGCAAGTATACAAGCAAATAAGCTGGCACGCAAATATTATGTTAATACCCACAAATTTCCGTATATAGCCATGCATACATACATAAACAGAAGTATACATATATATATTATATATATATATATATAACAGAAGTATATATATATATATATTATAGATGTATATATGTATATTTATATGTATATGTTTATGCGTT